GAGCCAAAATGGGGGACCCCTCCAAAGCCCACGTGTCTGGCTTTATACCAACCTGGCTGCTTAACCCCACCCTCAGGTCCCAGCCACCTTCCCTTTGGTGGGGATGGGATGTGGAGTTCCCAGTGGCTTTGGCTTTGGCCTGGGGTGGGGGTGGAGTCCACAAAGCCTGTATGGAATTAGCTTTAGGACATCCTTTTCCCCCCTAACAATTTCCCCCTTTGGTACCTCTGAGGTGTGGTGTGGGGTAATGCTGGGTAAGACTAGAAAAACAAAGGAACAGAGTCTCTGCCCTCAGGTATCTGGCCCCGTAAGGCCACCACTGTCATTTCCGCCCTCTCCAAGTCTCCCTTGCCCCTCAAGTTACTCATAAAGCTATACTCCTATCAGCCACAGACACCCGTAGGCAGTCATCTCGCTCCTCCTCCCATCCTGTCCTGAGCTGTTTCCCAAAGACTTCCTGGCACTGAGGAGGATTAGAGGGCACTGGGTCAGTCCATCATGCTCCCATGGCAGGGTCTGGAGATGGCTGTCCCTCCCAGACACATCCTGACCTGCCCCAGCAGCCTTGGGACACATGCCTCCCTTGTTCTGCCCAGCTAATCCCTCCTCTCCTTCCTGCCTCCCCACCTCCTCCCCCTCTGCAGCCTGCAGCTCCCTCAAGGCCTGGCAGGCTGGGCTGAGTCACTTCCACTTTGCATTCTCCTTCTGGTCAGGCCAGTTTGGCAAATCTCTTGGGCTCCCTAGCCCCACTGCCCTGGAGCCTATGGGCCCCCTTAACCCAAGGCCCCAGACTCCCTGCCTCCCCTGCCCCATGGGGCACAGCAAACACGGGAGGAATGTCTAAGTCTTTTGAAGTAGACATTCAAGATGACACAACAGATTTCTTCCTTCCCTAAATTTAAGGTTGGGGTCTCTGCTCTAGGCCTAAGAACCCTTCTCTTTCCAGAAACAACCCTGGTGTAATCCTGTGTCCTGGAACAATCTAAACATAGGATCTCCCTATTCTGCCCTCTGAAGCAAAATCTTCACCATGAAGCTCGATTCTTCTAGGCTAGTTGGAAGGTAAGTCCAACCCTAATCTCTGAGAAGAAAGGGTGGCCTGGGTCACCCTGGGGTTGTCAGCCTGGCCCCAGATCCTCCCAGCTCCCTTGCTCTGCCTGCCAGAATGTCCCAGTTGAGGGCCCCAGACAGGACCTGCCCTGCTGCTCTAGGGGCCACAGTTTAGTAGGAGGTCACAGGGTAAGGAGTGCTAAATCTGCTCCCACAGACGGTTCCCCGGATACAGCTAGTCCTCAAAGAGGACAGGAAAATAAGCTGAAAGTCCCTCCTACCCCCCTTTTATGTTACCTGGGGTAGGGCCAGCCCCAGTAGAACACTCTGGGTGCTACAGTTCTATTCTATGGACCAGGAGAAAAGGTCCTGCTACTTCCCAGGGAATGTAAGGTCCCTCTCACACTTATCAATCCCAAGGTTCCAGAAACCCTGTCTGGTCTGCCTCTATGGTCCCAGGCTATTGTCTTCCAACATAAGACTTTGTTTTGCCACAGCAGGTCTTGGAGAGACAGGAGTTGGTAATCTTCAGAAGGAAGGAATGATAGAAGTGTGGGCTACCCCTTCATCCTGCCTATCTCAATCCAGGCCTGGATTAGGAGACGGAATTTATTTTTTTTAACATTTATTTATTTATACATGTAAGAACTGGGGTACAGACCAGAGATGTGGGGGGTAAAAGGACTCACCAGAGACAAGAGTGGGGAACACAACAGGTGGATTGACTGAAATACACTGCTGAGGGGAGCCGCGGGTGAGTCAGCAGAGGTCTGCTGTGTCATATGGGTCAGCTCCTTGGCTGGGGATCGAACTCAAACTCATGCTGCAGTGGCTGCCAATAGCTTCACAGCACTGTGTCTTTAACCCCTACACTACCAGGGAGGCCCGGGAAAGGGGTTTTTGGTGAGAGGATAGAAGAGTAATGAAGTGGCAGAGAGGGTCTTTACCCATCCACTCAAGCTCACCTTGACCCTAGAGAAATCAACACCAGTGAGAGAGCCCGTTCCCACTGCAATTTCTGCATTACTGGAGAGTCATCAGCTGTGTGATCCTGCTCCTTGGCTACTATCACCCCTCAACTCCCAAAAATAATATTTGGGGCCTTTTCCCTGCCAGGCTTTTTTTTTTTTTTAAGATTTATTTCATTTATTTATGCATATAAGAGCTGGGGTGTAGGCCAGAGGTGTAGGGGGTGGTGAGAAGATTCACCAGAGACAGAGTAGGGAGAACAGGCAGACTGACCAAAATACACTACTGAGGGGAGCAGTGGGTGAGACAGGAGAGGTCTGCTGAGCTACGTGGGTGGCTCCCTGGCTGGGGATCGAACTCGTGCTGCAGTGGCTGCGGACAGCTTCATAGTGCTGAGTCTTAACCCTGTGTGCCACCAGAGAGGCCCCAGGCTTCTTTTAAGGGGCCCAGTGCAACCTACCCCCTCTGCCAGGGCCCCAAGCTTCCCATTCCCTATGTAGCAGTGGGAAGGAGCACGAGAACCAAGCACTTCTGCAAATATGTTTAATGCACTTAGATTACACAGAGGAAGAGGAGGCAAGAAGGAAACATCTAAGTGAGTCACCCAAAAATTCTTACAAAAGTCCCAGGTTGGCTGCAGCCCCCAGGAACTGAGTCGCCATTGACATTAGAAACTAATATAAAATTTTACAAAAGTCTGCTCATTGCAGCATTCAGGTACTTGTACAAAAGGAGGAGTCTCTACAGGGCTCCTGGCTTGTTACAGGCACAGGACCTGGAAGCCAGGAAGGAAAGACAACCAGATAAAAAAATAATCAAAGGATTCTGCTCTGGTCTGCCCCATAGGGGCACCGACCTTCAGGTTTTTTCCCCCGTTCTCAACTCAATCTCAAAATCCAGTCCCAAGACCCTGTGTTTATTTTTAAAAATGTGCTAGCCCTTCTGGACTCTCCCTAAGGCTTCCCAGTTCCTACCCTGAAGCCACACCTTTGGAAGAGGAAGAGGAGGGTGGGAAGGGGCACCAGCTCCAGGTCCTGAGACCTTACCTGAGCCTCCACATCCTCCTGGAATGGCAGTAGGTCTGCAGTCCTCTTGGAACCTATATTGGGCCTGAGGAGTCCCAGGAGTCTGCCTCTTATTAGCAGGCAAACAGCAGGGGGGAACCCCTTCTTAATGGAAGCTCCAGAATCAGCACCAAGGACCTGAAGGGAGAGGTAGGCATGGGAAAGCCTCAAGGAAGCCCTGGGAAGAAGCAGATTTAGGGAGGTCAACTTTTTACCTCCCCAAATCACTATGAGGTCAGGGCTCCCAAAGAGCTGCAGGGAGGGAAAGGTGTACGTTTAGGGAGCACCGACCATATGCCAGGTGCTATGGTGGGCATGGTACATGGTCGGTCTCACTCTCACCAACCAGCTCAGAGGGGGGGCCCCCTCCCTGAGAAACCTCTGGGAAGGAACTACACCCAAGGAAAAGGAAATATGGTCAGAGACCAGCGACACTCGGCCACTCCCCTGGAGGCCAATGCACTGTGGGGGAAAGATGGAAGCCCTCGTGGGCTCATCATCTCAGAGCTCACCTGCTTTTCTCCTCTCTCCCATGATGATGACAAAGCTTAGCTCAGAAAAGAACCACTCCCACCAGGCAAACCAGGTGGAAGAAAGCAGGTCCCTGGCAAGAGAGAATTCCTGGAGGCAGGTCAGGATGGCAAGAAAAGGAGGCAAGCCGATCGCACTTCTCTGGCCATGAGCTGTCAGAGCTTCAAAGGCAGGAATGCTGTGGTAGATGAAGGCCAGGAAGCATGCATTTGTAAAAGTTCTCAGAGCAGAAGGCACAGCTACAGCCCTCATTAGTCCAGAGGGGCTTCCACCTTGGCCAATGGTGCCTGGGGCCAGTCTCTCCCAATAGTGCAGGCTGATCGGCCTTGAGGCTCTGAGTTTAATGGTTACCCCGATAGCCCTGAGAGTGTGCAAGAAGGGCCAGGCCCTAGAGGCCCCCTTGGCAGTCCAACTTCTGCTCCCCGCAGAGCCCAGCCACTGCTCTGGTGGTCCCTGGCGGCAACTCTTGGCTGGATCTTGCATCAGAGGGGTCCTGCTCTCATGGGCCTCCTGTAACACCATGGTGGTGCCTGCATGAGTGACAGGGGCAGATGGGCAGTAAGTAGCCCTGTATAGTCCTGACAGACAAAACATCTTTGCTTTGGAAAGGCCCAAAGGGTCATGCTGAAATAGCAGTTCCTAGAGTTGGAGGACAGAGGGGACAGAAGGGGCCTATTGACTCCAGGTCAGAAATGGAAAATAAAACCCAGAGGAGCCCAAAACCATAGGATCAGATATAGGTAGGTTTCTGGCAGGAAGACCATGAAATCTACACTGTTGGAGGCCAGAGACCAGGAAGCACGAGGAAGGAGACAGAACAAGAAATGGGAATGAGATGAGAAATGAATGGATGTAAGGGGATGGTAGAATGCAGTGATTACAAAATCAAAGTGAAACATATGCTGAGAGGTTGATTTTTCCATGTTTAGTGAGCCAGGGTTCTGTAACCTACAGGCTGACAGGCCCGTAGGGGATGAGAAAATGAGAGAGCGAGATCAAAGAGCTGGAGACTCAGGCCCTGACTGGCAGATGGGAATGGTCTGTGAGGTGCTGAGCCTCATCCTCTCCCTGGCAGGCCTCTTTGGGTAGAAAATTCCTGGAATAGGAGTCTCCAAGACTCTGATAGTCCTTGAATTCTGTGGGGGCCCAAATCCACTTAGGAACCAGCAGCTCCTTTCTCTGGCCCTGCTAAATTGCATGGAGGAGTGTCTCCACTCTCCCCTGCCCCAGGCTCCAGCAGGCCCAGCAGGGAAGAAAAGCTGCTCTGTGAAGCCAGCTCCTCCAAGGTCTTGGCAGAGAACACTGACACCTTCTCTGGTGGGGCTTCAGGAGGAGACCTGACCCCAGGTCCCCGCTAAGACAATGAAAAAGTATCTGGGAATAAAGTTTTGTTTAAAAAACATTATATACATGGCTTCTGGACATCTTTGAAGAGCAATAAAATACCATCCGGTTTCTACAAAATAAAATAAGGAAGAAGAACATCAAACACCAGCAGAGGAACTGTTCCATGGCCAGAGGAGCTTCGTTACCAAAGGCTTCCCAGTTGAGCTGGGCAGTGCACACACAGACTGCCCCCCTTCCTGCCAGGCTGCATGACAAGCAGCAGGTGAGAACGAGGCCTGTCTCCACGTAGGGGCACAGCAAAGGTCCAGAGTCAATCTCAAACCAGAACCTGTGGCAGCAGCAGTCGGGAAGGTTGGTTTGCATTTTCTCACTTGTGCCCAGTGGCAGGTGAGGCCCCTGAACTGCAGGTGAGGTGGGGGCCTGGGGCCTGTGCAGGGTCTCCCACTGGCTGCAGGTGCGGTGGCTGTGCGGTCGTCCTCACACTTGTCATTTCACTTGTGGGATCTCTCTTACACAGTTATGACGTAAGTCATTGGGGAGCAGCTGGGCTCTCCCTCGGCCCCTGCAGGGCCCAGCTCAGGCTAGTGCAGTGGACTGTCGAATACCACGTCGGGTAGGATGGAGACTTTCAGCTTCTTTTCAGGCCAGCTGTACTCTTTGGGAAGTTTGAACTGTGGAGAGAGGAAGCACAGTGCCAGAGTACAGGAAGTTACAGACCCCTTCCTCCCAGATTGCTTAGAGCATCCAGGACTTTCACCCAGGCCCTATTCCCCAGGTGCTGGGGGCAAGACAGGCAACTGGTTGCCTGGCATCAATCTCTAGTGCTAGATCCTGGTGGGTAGCTGGGGTCAAGCTGCTGGAGTTCAGTGACCCTTTCTTTCCCCTTGTCCTGCCAATAATTAACTGGGGTTGGAGGAGGCATGTTTTCTGACTCTTTCTTGACTGTGCTGACCTCCCTCCCTCCAGCTCACTTCCTGGGTTCTGCCTCCAGCCACAAGCATGTCAGGAATCTGCTCCCTGAGGCCCTGGGGCTGGAGGATTGGGGGCAGGGGGAAGGTGCAGATGCTACAGGGAAGTGGCTTGAGGTCTGGAGCACTCTGGTTTTGTCCTTGCCATGGCTTCTCTCTAGAGGTTGATATGGAAGAAGCCTGGAACCTGCCCTCTGTGGCCTTTACCAGAGGGCAAAGAGAAGGAGGTCTTCATGGGAGCAAATGAGGAAGACAAATGTGGCTTGAAGTGATTTCTTGGACCTGGTGCAGTCTCAGAAAAAGCAACCCCTCCATCTGCTCCCCCTAGTTTGTCCCCATCTGCTTCCTAGAGTTGCCAGTCTGAGAGGTCCCAGAGGTCCCAGGAGAGCCCAAGGTCTTCCTGCCCCACCCTGAGAATCACTGACTTGCTTAGTTTTGTTTCTCAAGCTTCTGGTGGGATAGAGGGAAGGGGCTAGACAGCTTACTCCCTTTGTATTCTAGGACCTTATGTGTGGTCTAGCGTAGGCAATAGACACTCAGTAGATGCACAATGACTTGAGTGATGATGGAAGCTTGGAAGTAGGTCTGCCTTTTATGACTCCTACTGTGTGGGGTCAGGCTGGAAAGGAGGCTTCGAAGAGCAGGGCTCTCAGCCTGCCTAAAGCAGGGCTGGAAGAGGGCAGCTTTGATACTTCCTAGCTAGCTCTTCTCCCTCCCTCCATGGGGACCCATCCAAGGAAGGACAAAGTGGAGAGTGGGGCAGGGTGTGGAGACAGCCTCTTGAGAGGAAAGCAAAAAAAAAAAAAACAAAAACCAAAAAACACCCGTCATTTTTAGTGACCTACTTTCCTAAGCTTCCCCTGGCTCCTGTCCCTCTTGCCTGGACTGTCCTCCTCCTATTCCCTCAGTGTCCAAGCTCAAAGCAGCAGCCTGGCACAGTGCCATCCCTGTGCGACATGGCCTCTCCGGAAGCGCTTCTGGGCAGCTGGCTCTGGTCTGACTGAATGGGAGCCGGGCATCAGGGACCAGTGACTTGTGGGGGTTGATTGGCTGGCACAGACTGGGTGTTTGATGACCACTGAATGTATAAATGAGTTAATTTATCAAGCTACATCCCAGAGGACAGAGAAGACACTATCTCACCCACTGAGGGATGACCTTGGGGTCCAAGGAATTCCTGTCCACCTGGAGACCTGGACAGGTCAGGCCCACCCTGTGGATATTAAGAGGCCATCCTGTCCTGGCTGGTGAGGCCATGGGAGCCCTGGCAGCTGGAAACTTCTGCCTGGCTTCCTTCTATATAGAAAGCCTGGCTCCAGGGAGGTGAAGGAACTCTCCCCCAAATACACTTTGGGGCAGAAAGGGCAAGAGAAGGGTCTGTCTCTGTCATACCCAGGGGAGGGTCCAGAAGAGCTCTCCAGAGGCCGGGCTAGCTTGTTATATGCTCCACTAACCTATCGGTATTGATGCCACAAAGGCTCAGATTCCACTGGGGTGCTATTTAAGAGGAGGCAGGAGGAGAGGGAGGGTAAGGGACTTTCCAGGATGAGGTAAGTCCCCTCAAATGAGGATGGCAAACGGATGACAGGAACAAGGAAGAAAAAACAAAGGGGATTATGGGCTCCATTCCTGTACCCCAGAGGAGTAACCAGGGAAGGCACAGGCCTCCCCTCCCCCAGCCTTCCAACTCTCAGACTCTGAGCTAGGACTGGAAAAGGCAGATCAAAAGGGTGAGCCTATGGCTGGAGGAGGGAAGGAGAGTGGCTCCTGGGTGGCCTGAGGCAGGAGCAGGAGTCCCTCACTGCCCACCACAACTCCCCAGTGGAATGTTCTCTGGCAGCAGGCGTGGGCTTTCTGTTCAGAACCTGCCAGGGAACAGCAGGGGCTGGAGAGAACTTGTATTAGCCTGAAGGCCCTGCTGTCTCTTCAATGAGGTTCTGAGGAGCCGGCAATTCAGACCATTTGCTGGGTGTCCTTACAAGGGCTGGGAGGGGTGGTGGTTCAGGGAGACAGAGAGAAATAAAGCTGTTTAACATCTCCTGGGTCTCCTTTCCTGCTTATCCCCATACCTCAGACAGACACACAGACACAGACACACACACACTTTCTCTCGCTCTCTCTGACTAGAACCTACTGTTAGAGAGAATCAAACAGGCTTACTTCCTCTGGAGAAGTCAAATCTTCTAAGTCCTCCAACATTTTCTCTACAAACTCTTCGGTCAACAGAATCTAGAAAGAAGGTGGGAGACAGGCTTTTATTTATTTATTATTTTAAAAATATATGGTCTTTTTGACAACTGCCAAGCTACGGATTTGGCCTTGGAGAGATGAGCTCTGGTCTGCTCTAGGGACACAGGAAAGTGAGGAAGGCCTATCCCTAAGGGCCACCCCACTCCCATCTCTCTTCCTCCCCTCACTCGCCCCCACCCCAGCAACATCAGAGGGACTAGGAGAGAAGGAAAGGGTCAGAAAATGATAGGGAAGCACGATGGGGAGCTCTGGAAGGATGGTAATGTTGGTCCCGGAAGGACATGGAAATGGGTAAGGAAAACCCCTATTTTTGGCAGTTCAGGCCACCTGCATGTTGCGGTGCTGTGGAGGGGAAGCAGATAAGCTGGGAGGCTGAGCAGAGCACTTGCCAACATTTTCCTGGTCCAACCAGGCTCACATGGTCACATCCCCTCCTCCTCCCCTCACTTAGTAGGACAAAAGGAATCTGTTTGGGATTGGAATATAGCCTTGTCTGGAATCTGGAAATGCCCCAGTAGGTACATCTAAGACTGTCTGAGCTGGATGATTTAGAAATTGCACATCAAACTCTCTTATTTTACAGATGGGAAATGTACTCTCAGCTTCCATTTCCATCCACTACTAAGTTCTTTAGGATTTCCTCTCAGAAACCTCTTTACCAGGTCACCTCATGGTTGTCCCACTTTACTGCTCTAAGCCAATGCCTTGTCACTCATACTTCTATGTCTAAGATAGGCCGTGCCCACTGCTTGGCTGGCACAACCACCACACCCACCCCTGAAAAGCTTTTACAGTCAATGGGAATGTCCAGAGCACTCAGGCCTTCCTTAACCTGATGGATCTTTTTCTCAAATAGTTCCTGTGTTCATGTTGGGTCCACAGAGCCAGACCAAAGCTCATCCCCAGGTCTGTACCACACCAGGCCCAGGCTGAGGATGTCCTCCCTCTTCCCAGTCTGACCCTTCTCTCTAGCCTTCACTGGCCCTGCCCTTCTGGGCCTCTGCAGCAGACTCTGCACCTCCAAGGCTGTGGCTCTACCTCCCTCTGCTTTGCCTCTCCTAACAGACCTTGAACACTCAGGGCGGGGCACAGAGGAGAAAACCAGAGGGTAAGGGGCTCCTCTGAGGGAAACACCCCCCAACCCCATGAGAAGGATGGTATTGAGAACCTGAGAAAAACCCATCAGGGTTCCCCTGGGAGTTGTTTATTCTGATAAGAAAGAAGTTTTCATATTTGAAATATAGTCAGCTTGTAAGATAAAGTGAAACGGCCAAAATAGTACTCACAGTATAGAGGATGCAAAGGGAAGCTGATGGGGTGGAGGTAGGGGCAAAGAATGAGAAAATCACCCCCAAGTAGCAGACAAATCACTAGCATACCAAGCACTGAGCTAACTGCTCATGTACCTTAATCCCCTACAGATGACAAAACTGAGGCATGATAGGTTATATATTTGTCTGATGTCACATGACGTATAAATGGCTGAGATAAGTCCCTGAGAGGAGCACATCTGGACTCTAAAGTTAGTGCCTGAGTACAGCTTGAAATCCTGAACTCTTACCTCCATGACATTTACTCATTTATTCATCTTCAACTCAATTCCACAGCATGCCCTGGGTGGAGCCCCAAGGACAGAGGCATGAAGGCAGTCTATTCCCCCCTGGACATGTTACAGGCAACCCCAATGTGAAATGGGTTGGCCTGACTGTGGGTCCTCACACACAAGCTTCAAAGGGACGTATAATGAGACTCAACTGCAGGTAAACACAAAAAGGGTAATAAAGGGTTTGTTTGTTCAGGACATCCTTTCCCCCCAACGGACAAGCACCCTCCCTTGAGAGCCAAAGGATGTCTCCTTCCCAGGTTGCAAGCCCCCAGTCAGGAGCAAAAAAGCTGTTATCACACTGGCCCACATATCACCAAAGTTTCTGTTGGAGAGGCTCAGGTCTCAAGTGAAAACAGAGACAAGGTTTAGACAGGTGAAGTGGGGACAGGGAAATGCCCACCTGAAGTGCCCTTCCCCGCCCCCAGGCTTTTGCCAAGTTCCTGGAAGAGGGACTTGTTCCTACTCACTGATTCCAGTGACCCTTTGCAATCATAGCTGATCCTCCCACAGGCTGAGACTGAGCCCTGGCTCCTCCTTCTCTTATCCCAGGGTTTCTACTGCCCCACTCCCAAAGTCCAGAGTTTCTCTACCAGTTATCACCAGTCTGCTTGAGTAGTACAAAAGTCACATTCATATTTTTGGCATTTCCGGGGCTTGATGCCATCTCTGTGAAGGCTAGCACAAACACAAGCATACCTAAAACCCAATTACACTACAATGGCTCCAGTACAGGCCAGGCTGGGCTCATTTCTAACCCACAAATAATTTGCAGGGAGGAATTCTCTGTTAGAGAGGTAAATAGGCCTGGGGCTTGCAGTAGTGCTGGGGATGAGATGGAGGGTGTGGGGGTGGGAGGGAGGTAGAAAGAAGGGGGAAGTTCACAGGACTGGGACCACCCAGTGAGCCATTTTTAAACAAAAGAAAAGGTAACCCTCATCAAGGCTTCAGTTCTAAGCCAGTTTCTCTGACAAAGGTCTGGAATTGGTGGTGGGGAGGTGGACTATAGTGGTTTTTAGTAGAGCAACTACCATCTGTGTGTGGATTCATTTTGTGATTTTGCATTCAGTTGGTGGAGGAGATAGCAAGACCAAAAATGGGGACAAACCCTAGTTGCTCCTCAATTTTCACTTTTGATTATCTTCTGTGTCCTGCTGGAAACATCACATTATTTTTTAAAAAAAAGAAGTTAATATGGGAAAACTATACATGAGATCCTCATGATATTAAGGGTGATATTCCTTGCAAAGAAACATGACAGTCTGTCATAGCTCCAGGCCCCTAATTTAATTTCCTCTGAGAGTTAAACCTTAGAAGCTAGGATTGAACAAACAGGCCCTGTTCTTTGTATATTTCAGACCTGGAGCTGAGAATGTTAACAGATCTTATCAACAGGACACTGAAGATAGACAGCTATGATGGAGCAGCTCCTGGGTGCTCTCACGAGTAACAGACACGCCGTTGTGATGCAACTGTGGGAAAGGCCTGTGCAATTCTGGGGCTTGGGGCTCTTAAAGCTCATTGGGTCCCCATGAGAGTGCCTGGATCTGCCACAAATAGTAATAGGAATGGTTATGATAATGGCAGTAGTAATGCTACTGTTACAGGGCAACCCTGAGACATCCTTTCCCCCTAGCACTACCTCCTCCATATGCCAGGCAGTGGGCTAAGTGCTGACTTGTATCATGTCATTGAATCCTTACAGTATCCTGCAAGGGAGGTACTGTCATGCTGATTTTGCACCTGAGCAGGTGTCAAATCTGCTGGCCTTTAGAAAAGTGCTCACTTCATGATGGTAGAGATGCTCTTTTCCTATCTTGGCAAGGCGCCCTGATTCTAGAAGGCTTGTATACTCTGAGCTGACTTCTCTCTCTCCTGACAGAAAAGGTGAAGGTGATTTTGGTTCTACCAAATGGTTTGGAAAACCAGCAATCCCCACCCCAAGCAGTCAGGTATCTCCCAGTTACCTGCTCTCCACGTGAGGGCTAGAGCCCCAAGTGTCATAGACATGCGGTGCCTAGAAACCATGATGGGCAATTGGCAAGGAAGGCAAACCATGTTGAAGATGGTTTCCAAGCAGGGAGAGGAAGGCAAATTTCCAAGGCAGCTTGGTGAATCCATCTTAGAAGACGATGGTTACTCAAGCCCAGAAAAACACAGAAACAATAATAACAGCGAATGGGACGACCACACTCCTTGATGACCGTGCTTGTCCAGAGCCAGGCGTCAAAGTGCAGGAAGGACCCCCAACCACTCTGAGCAGCAAACTCCCCTAAGGAAGCTTTTGAAAATATGGAGATTCCAGGGCCTCCCCGGTGGCGCAGTGGTTGAGCACTGGGTTGCGAAGCTGCCTGCAGCCTCTGCAGCGCCGGTTCGATCCCCGGCTGCTCCCCGGCCACCGGAGGAGGGTCTCGCATGGCGCGCAGACCTCTCCTGCCGCCCGCTGCTCCCCTCAGCAGTGTACTTCGGTCCTTCTGCCTGCTCTGCTTCCTACTCTGGCTCTGGTGAATTCTCTCACCCTCCCGCGCTTCTGACTGTACCCAGTGCTTGTATAAATAAATAAATAAATAAATAAATAAATAAATAAATCTCAAAAAAAAAAAAAATACATTAAAAAAAAAAGGAGATTCCAGGCCCCAACCAGACCTTCTGAATCAGAATATACTGAGCCAGGGCAAAGAATCTGCATTTTAAAAAGGCACCCCAGGAAATCCTGGTGAGAGGAGAGCTAGAAAATACTCAGACTCCCAGGAGAAGAGGTTTTGGGCACTGGCTTACCCAGGGTGAGCTGGCAGCTATAGTACCACCACCATCTAATTGGCTGAACTGAGGGGAGCAGCTGCCTGCCCCCTATTCCTAACCCCCACCGACAAGTCAGGAAAGGGGCTTGGAACTTAGGCCAGTAGCTTACTTCAAAGCGCTCACACAGTGGTTCCTTAGGACAGCCTGGCTAGTTGGTGATGAGGGAGGATTGTCAACAATCCCCCAGTTTCCCAGGTCCCAGCAAATTCTAGAAAGGAACCTGTGAAGTGATCTTTCATCAGTGTCTGCCCTGGGCAGGCCTAGCTGTGCTGCAGGTAGGAGCACAGCTGCCATTGATCTGATTGAAACATCTGTGGTCAATGATATTTCGGAGTGTGTGAACAGTGGCTAACATTGCCCACTGCTTCCCCTTGTGTTATAATCTACTTCGTCAGGGCTTTGTTTGCTCTTCATATCGATACATTGTTCTTGCTTCCCAACAAGTTTGGCTTTCTTTCTCTCCTTTCCTTCTTTCAGGGAAGGAAATGTGTCGTTTACAGGGGAGGGCCTGCCAAATTGCTGCTCTGTCACCTACCATATTGGTGGAGGCAAGGACATGGAAGCAGACCAGTCTGCGACCTCCCCTCCCACCCCCACAAGCCAGACAAAAGTCAGGAAACAGCCTGGAGCAGCCCCACTCCCCAGATGTGTAAGGCAGGTACAACTGCAGTAGCTGAGGCACAGTGAGGCCTCACTCCTTTCCTGTGTTTGGTGGGTGGTGAGATGTTGCTTTTGGTGGCCAGAAGTAGGTTCAGAATCCTCTGGCTCTGGCCATTAGTGAGGGCAGAGCAGGACATCACAATCCTCCCTGAAAGGGAAGGCCCTGTGCTTCCCCAGGCATATTGCTGGAACTTAAACCCTGATGGGAACAGCCTGGACAATGAAGTCTCGACTACCCCAGCAAAGGTCTCCAGGCAGAACAGGTCATGCCCAGGTTTCACCAGTAGAAGGAGGAACAGTAGAAGCACCAAAGAGGAGCTGCTCAGGGCCCAGGCCTAGGATTACTAAGTGTCTTTCACACAACATACAAATGAGTAGACGGGGACAATAGAGGGAGGGGCTTGTGCAGAGGACAGTGGTCAGTCAGCCACAATTTCCCAAACCTGGCCTGGGGCAGCAGAGTCCACTCAGAACAGCTGCTGGGTATCTTCTCCCAAGCCTGGGGCCTCCCATCAGGGCTGACAGGGAATGGCTTGGAATGGGGACACCACCTGGGTGAGCTGTTAGACACCACACAGCTGAAAAAGCATTGCAGGGTTTAAAAAAATATTCTCATGTTTGGTGATATGACCCCTATGTGACCTCTGGGGCCAACTTCTCCCCTTTCAAATCAATCTTGGCTGGAGACAGTTGAAGAACTCAGCTCCTCAGCTCCAGGCTGGCTCCTGCTCAGAGGACTGACAGCCCAGTGCTGACAGACTCAAGGGAGAGGGGCTTGTGAAAGCAATCTATGAGGAATGAGGGGAGGAAGGTGTGCAGGAAAGGGCGCTGGCAGGCTCCCCCAGGGTCTGAAGACCCTCCTGCAAAGCTGATAGGCTTCATCATCTCAAACAGGATGAAAGCATCAACTGGTAGGGCAGATGGAGTCAAGGTGTCAACCTCCAGAAACTGAGAAGCCTGTGGAATTGAGGCAGGATTCCTGCCTCTCCAGTTCCTCCAGGAAGCAGGCAATGTCCACTACACTGAACCTGGGGTTGCTGATGGCCAAGTTTTTTCTATGTGCTTGGGGGCCTTGACTTCTTTGGGTCTGGAGAGATGAGTTGTCAGGACAGATGGGGTGTCAGGGAGCAAGAAGGAGAGGTGTTAGAAGTAGTTAGGTGGATGTGGAAGCCTGTCTGGGACCATTCTGAAAGCTCCGGAAAGGGGCAAGATTCACTCATCTTCTGCCCTTTTCTTTCAGTCTCTCCTTTGTCACTCTTCCCCCATGGGGGTGTCTTTGCCATGCCTTTCCCCAAGAGATAACAGGTCTGGGCTGATAGCCAGAACAAGGTGCCAAGGCAGGGAGTGTGGGCTTCCATAGCTGTTGAAGGCTGATGCAAGAAAGTCATCCCAGCCTCTCCCAACTCAACTGGGACCAACAGAAAGAGTTCACACAGCAGCCAAGAGAACAGAAGTCTGGGTCTCTTCAAGTCGTGGATATGCTACATTCAGATCCCTCCTGCTCCTGGGTCTCCATCAGGCCTAGGCACAGAGATCAAGGAGACACTCCTGATCCTGGAATCACAAGCAAGAGATTCCTGCAGGGGGTAAGGACAGGTCTCTCTGTGTTGGGGTGTCTGCCCAGAGGGGCCTAGGGCCCTTATTGGCCCAGTAGAGTGGGCCCTAACTGGGGACTACAAGCCTAAACCTGGGGCCTCCAAGAGGTTCTGCAGACTCCCACGGAGACAGCCAGTCCTAAAGGGAAACCTAGAAACCCACAAGTAATTACAGGTCCAGGTTCCCACAAGCTAGGGAACTGCCTGTAACTACAGTGGCAAGACCCTGAAGAGGAAGGCAGACTGGCAGTCAGATGCAGAAAATGCTGACTGCTTTGGGGGCAGGGAGGAAGGTGGTGTGGGTATTAGCTCAAGACAGCTGAGGACTGGTAGGAGCAGAGCTCCTTATAAAGGACCAGAGAAACCACTCAGAGTGTGAGCATATATACTTGGGGAATAGGGCCCTAGCCAGGCTTCCTGGAAGCTCCCCTGTGAGCTGGCCCCTGTGGTGGGCTACGCTAATGAGTCTATAACACAGGTCTTTGATTAAGCAGCTCCCAGCACAGCAACTTTATTGAAACATGCCGAGGCCAGTAGCTGGTTCCCACCGCTCCTGGTTCCCAGGGCAACAGCGCCTGGGAGGGGACCATGTGCTGGGAGTCAGTGGGTAGAGTGCTCAGGATCACCAAGGGGCTGCCAGGGAGGCGAGGGGAGTGGAGCGGAACGCTAGCAGCCAAGGGACAAAGAGGCTTGGGAATTGGGGTTGGGTCCAGAACTTGGTGGGGGGGGGTTGAGAGGCGACATGGCATCTGTTAAGTCCTCTGGGGGCCAAAGTTCCCAGGCTGCTGAGATTTGGAGCTGCTGATCACCCTCCTCGGGACAAGAAGATGTTCCAAGCACAGGTTCACAGTTGAGCATGTAAAATATAACTGGGTGGAATTTCTTCTCCAGTTTGGAGAGACCCCAGTTCCTACTTTCCCAAGAAAATGAGCTTAAACCTTAAGTATATACAAATGCACACTGTCATTTACAAGGAATGATGGCTTGTGAGTTATGGGGGTGCTGAGGCCTCCTGCACTGTTCCCACAACTCCCCTCTTCCTTACCAGCTTGGCCCAGGCTGCTCTCCATGGAAGCAGCCTGGGCCCTGGGACCTGCCTGAATAGGGGAAGGCCCTTTCTACTTACGCTGTTCTAATTTCAAGTGTTACACTTCAGAGCTTTTGCTACAGTAACTACCAACACCACATGGACAGAAATCTAATGTTACCAAGTGGGACTTTCAAAATGTATTTATAACTTTATGGTTCAAAGTAATTTTGTTATGAAACAATGTAATAACAACAGTGGAAAAGGCAAGATAATTTATGGAACACAATATCCCTAAAGCACCAGCTTTCATTTCTACCTCTGCTTAGTCTGGGTTAGTGTGTGGGTTGGTGTCCTTTGTTTGCTGTTTGTTTTAATTAAGGGTTAGTATTTTTGTGGGGCGAGATGGGGGGAGGTGAGGAGAGGGAGCTGGCTTTAAGGAGAGAATTTTGACTGCGCGTGCACAGGTACAAGCACAAACACACAAAAAGCATGCCCATGTTAGTAATATATGTACTTCACAGACCCCCCCCCCCACTGGATTAAACTCACAAAAATCAGCAAAATTTTCTTCCTCTTTTTTGTAATCCCTTACCCCCACCCCTCACCCCTTATATCACAAACAAGGCAAGGTCACCTTTTGGATTAGGGTCAGATTCCTTTTCTTGATATCCCTGAGAGAGGTAAAAAGTAGTGTTCTTTCTATCACACTTCCAATAAACAAACAAACAAAAAATGTTTTTCTAATACACCCAGGAGCGCAGTGGACCAGGCCGAGGACTAATTCGATACCTGGGTCAGGGTGGGGGCTAGGAGGTCTATGGCTCTCAAGCCACAGCCTAGCCACTTGGCAGTGGCTCTGAAGTTAAGCTGAGCTCCAGCCAGAAAAGCAAAGAAGGGACAAAATGTTCTGGACAAGCCACAGGTTTCTATGCAGAGAAAGTGTTTCCATCAGAAAGAACAGGAGAGCCTTTTGATGAAGGGAGGGGAGGAGTTCTGTCTGCTGAGGCCTGCCCATCCCAGCCCAGGTCCAGGTCCAGTGCCCACTTTCTAGGAATTCTGGTGGAATTTCCATATAGCCACTGGAGAGTGGGTCCTCACTTCCTCCCGCCTGCATCACCCTCCATTTACTGTCCTTTGATTTACCCAGAAAGCAGAAAGTCTTATACCCCTTAAACTTGAATTTCCATGGCATATGGAACTACCAATGGCCAGGCTCTGGAGACCTATCTCTTGTGTTTCAGGCGATGGGAAGAGGCCAGGAATGCTCCTGGGGCTGGTTGGAGAGGCAGCTGCCACCAGTCCCTGTGGCACCTCATAACCAGTCCCTCAGAAAGGGGTACCTCCAAGAACTGCCAGGAGAAGGTAAGGAGGGGATGGAAAAGTCCACAGAAAGAAGGTGGGGAGAAGAAAAAGAGCCTCCTCACTTGTAACCAGGGTCCATGAGCTGCGTAAGGGTGCTCCTCAGTGGCAAAGGCACCTTCCACTCCCGTGGAGACGAAGGTGATGGCCATGTCACCTGTGATACTTTTATATGTAAAGTGCCGTCCATGCAGGAGCCTGCCCCTAGGGGTAAGAACAGGGAGACAGTGAACAGCATGGCTGGCCAAGGTTCAGGAATAGTGGCAGCTATGCTCCCTGGGACAGGGTGCGGGCAAATGCCCTCCTGATTGCCCATATACCCACTAACAGGAGATGACAGTCCAACATGTTTACTTCAACGCCGTCCAAGAGAAGCCTCTCCCAAGTTTTCTTCCAAAATGCTCAAAGTTAGCAGATATACTACATTAGGGTTCAAAAGGCCTGTAAGAATAGTGGAGTCTGCTTCTTTCCTGTCCTGGTGAGGAACTGAGGCCAGAGAAGGCAATTAGCAATGTGCCCAAGGTGATGCTCAGAGCTAAGAGAAAAGGCATGTCCCCCTTTGTTGGAGGGCAGGGAGTAAAGCAGTATTTAAGCAAATTTCTTGAGACCCTAGGATGATGGCAGTACCCTCACAGCACAAATTCTGCGTATAGGGAGAATCTTCTACCTGCTCTTGGGTCTTGCCACAAGATTTACCTGGTTAGCCCCAAGGCCACAAGCATATCTTAAAAATTAAAAGAAAACGCCAAAGCCAAATGGGGTCATTCAGAAGGAGCCACGAGAAGTTACTGTTAACCCTGAGTCTGGAAATACCCCTGGGGGAAGGGTAGACAGGGGCAATCAGTGAGGCAGAGATGCCAGTCAGCAAGGAAGCAAAATCTGCTCTTTGATTTCTCAGGTTGCCTCAGATTAACCCTTCACCAGGCTAAAGTCCCTGAGTTTGGGCCACAGAAGGAGCTGGGAGGGAAAGGGTCTGGGCCAATGGTCCTTTTAGTCCCTGTTCACTCTAACTACTTACTATCTGTCCTATTGTTGAGGGTGGCTGGTCAAGGCTGGTTACTATTTAAGTTCCTTCCCCAGGCTCTGGAAACACGGGGGAGGTCTCAGAATCATGCAACCCTCTTCTTCCTGTCATTAATGGTTCCTTGAATTGAAAGTTATTCTTATAGACTCCCCTGCTCTAAAAGTGAGCATGGACCCCCAAGAGGTTGGTGGAGAAAGTCAGATGCAATTGATTTAGCCCAGGACCGCATCCCCAAGCAGAGCTGAATTCTGGCCACAGGGCTAGGTTTCTGGCACTATGGACAGCAGCAGAAAGGACACAGCTGGGTTTCTGGGTCCCTCAAGGAGTCTGCTGGTAGGCCACTGGCTTGGAAAACTGCATATTTTGCAAAGGAAAAGTAGCATGCAGGAGAAAATAGGGCAGGTGCCCCCAAATGGGCATGAGCCTGGCCCACCAGAGCCTTCTCTGCCACTCCTAACTCTGGGCTTATGGGATGGCAGGGTATCTTCCTAGGTCACTGAACCTTCCCAACTAAGCAAGGCTGAGAGGCATTTCTCTGGACAAAGGTGAGTTCTTCAGCACAATGGATGCTCCAGGCCAGCTCAGAGTCCCCGGGCCCCCACACAGGCCCACAATGAAGCTACTTGAGTGGTTCTCCCCACGCTGGGCCCCAGACTCTGTGTAGGTATAGGGGAGATGGCAAGCACTGGCCTGGTGGCTTCTCCAGGGCAAGTGGGTATAGTGGGGCTCACCTGAGGCAGAGAGGAATGAGGGCCCCCGACTCCTGGTTGAATTTCAGGTGTACACTCTCAAGTTGCCGTGTTCGGATCAGCTCGTGGGGGATAATGGCCGTGGAGCTGTCGCTTTCCAGGCTGTCTTTGCGACTCCTGCCAAGCAAGCACATGAATGTGTTCAGCACAACGTAAAAACACAGAAAGGAGCAAGATGGGAGTCTCTCAGGCTGGGTTCCTAAATAATGACAGTGATGGTGATTGATGGTAATGATAACAGTCACTACCACTCGCTAAGTGCTTGCCAAGTGCCAGCAGCCATGCCAAGCACTTCTCCCTGACTGGACTACTCCTCACAACACCCCCATGAGGCAGGTACCAATATATCCCTATATACACAAGGAGCTAGGGATCAGTAAGATTAAAAATTGTCCAGGTTTCTCAGTCGGAAGCTGTAATTTGGTCACAGTAAGTCTGGTCCTGAAGTCTGTATCGTGGCCAACACAGTATACAAAAATTTATGTCACAGTGGCTTGCTCTTCTTTATGACAGCAGCAGGAGCTTCTGGGGGCTTTTCTTTGCCAGCCCTGAAGCTCCAGACTTTAGTTCTCCAAGGGTGGAGAGTTAAGAGTATAGAGTCCTAGGAGAGGTTGCTCCAAGAGCTTCTTTCCAGCTGACTGAAATGCCTCTGACATCTGAGTTATGGTGAGCATACACACTCCTGCTAATGATCAGGAGCTGCAGTGACACACACTTCATCTAAACAGGGACGGATCATCAAGGAGGTAGAAACCAGGCTTATAAAAGTCAGACCCCTGGATCCCCTGGGTGGCAGAATCAGGGCCCAGTTTGCTGGGCTGCAGGGCCCCAGGAGCCCGATACCAAATTCCTCCAGACTGTGCCCTTGGACAGCAAGTTGTCACTACTGCCTCACATTCCCTCCTGTCTTGTCTCCCACCAGCAGCTTAAACTACAGCTTGAACTACAAAGGGGCCACTGGTCCCTTTGCAACCTAAGATTTGCTCTTTCAAATTCAGCTGCCCCCACTGACAACCTCTCAAATATGCCTCAGCCACGAATAAGGGTTACCCACTGATCCCATTCAAAAGGCCGGATCCTGGTTTGGGCTGTGAATCTCAGAACAATTCCCCATGTGTCTATCAAAATAATGGGTGAGAAGTTCTAGTTATTTATTATTCAAGTGGCAGGAGCCACCCAGGCTGAGCCTGATAGCCAGACAGCGAATCAAGGGTAGGCCCAAGCTCCTCACACAGAGATGCCCGTGGTCAGTGAGGCCCTCTGACAGGCAGAGAACCTCCACAGAGGGAGTGAGGACAGTGGGCAAAAGGATGGAGGGTGAAACAGGACAGTGGTTTATGAAAGCACCATTCCCACCAGCTGAGTGAATCTACCCCAGATTTTACTGCTCTTTCACAAAGCAGTCCCTAGCTTTGGATTTCTGAAAATGACCTTTGCCCTAGCTTCTCCGTTGAAAAACCCTTTCACAAGACCTGTGAAGGACACAAACACTATGGCCAAGAGGGTCATGGAATTTCAGGACTGAAGGGAAACTGAGGTTGTTAAATCTACCTCTTCATTTACAAAAGAGAACCTGGTAGTGTGTCCAAGGCCACAGAGCTGGTCTACAGCAGGCCAGCATGGGAGCCCAGGACATCTGACCAACTCTCCTCCCCTCACAGCCTAGAGGAAAACACCAAACACCACCTCACAGCAGGTGTCCTCAGGGACCAGACAAGAGCAGCACCCAGGAAAGAGAGCAGCTCTTTGTGGTGAGGCCTTTCTGTGCTCCAGAGTAAGCAGTCCATCAAGTCACCGGCTGAGTGCCCACAGCAAGCCCCCAGTAGATTCTATGATTAGATGAGGAAACTGAGAATTGCACAGGGGTAGTAATAAGCCTAAGGTCACAGAGTGAGTTGAAATGGAATAGCCACGGGGTGACCCTATGTCATCTGTCAATGACTCACAGGATCCACACGAGACCTAGCACCATGTTCTGAAAAAGTGGCCTGAGGCCTGGCCTGCCCAGAAGGAGCCTCAAAGTTTGCAAGGCCTGCTAGAGGATCCCTGACTCTCTGGCACAGGCAAAAATGCTGATGAATAGCAACTAGGGATGGGGGCAGGGAGCTGGGAAAAGAAGAATCAACAGCACACAGGGCTAGAGACTTCTCAAGCTGGAGGGAAAAATAAATTGTTGAAAGTCAGCTAAAGTCACCTTGGTAACTGCTACAACACACTCACCCGGAACGAGGACATCAAACCCAACTGCAAACAGCTTTAAAAGAAATGGAAAAGAACTTAATCATCTGAAGAATTAATGTGACAAGTGCCCACATTTACACCTCCCACCAACCTTCAATCATTTGAAAATGTACTTTAATCTTTTAAAAGAAAAAAAAATTGCAAAATGCTAGATCTGCAGTCCTGGAGCCTGGGTATTTCCAGCATGCTGCTTCAATGGAAACGGCTGCTCCACACACATGCAGGAGCCCAGATTTTTGCTGATTTGTTTTTTCTGGACATAGATGCAGAAGCATGAATTATTGGTGTGGGTTGGGTGAGGTATTAAATCTGTAGCTGACACAGGTTTGCGATGTTTTGCATGGTTGTCAGCTTAATCTTAGTCATAAAAAAATAAGTAGTGTGCTCGCCAGCGTGGCCTAATTTTTCAGCTGGGCTCTTTTCTCCCTGAGTTCCCAGTGGAGGGGAAGGCGGAACTTCAGGGGTTGAAAGGGAGAAGAGCTCCCAGGAAGGCATAGGATACACCTGCTGGGGACTGCTGGGAACATGAACCAGGGGATGAAGGATGAGGGAGGGAGAATGGTTTACAGCATAGGTTCTGGGTTCAAGTTCTATATGACCTTGGGCAATAACTTAACCTCTAGGCTTCCATTTCCCATTGATGAGAATAAATAACAATACCCTATCATTCAAAGGATTAAACAAGATGACCCATATGAAGAATCTAACAGTAGCTGGGATATAGTAGGTGATCAGAATGTATCTAGAATGTATTAAAAGGATGTTAGCTGTCTGCCTCTAGAAGTCTCTCTGCTCTTCCTATAAAACTTGTGATAGCTTAACAGAGACTGATTTGTCTTTATCCTGGGCCCCAAGTCTGACTCCCTCGGGCCCGTGCCTCAGTCATTTAGTCACCAGGCTCTGAGCTTGGGATAGGAGGGCTTCTGAGATGGGCCCTGAAATGGCTCCTGACTTCCTGAGCAGAAACTGCCGGCCCTGGTTAATTGCTGGAACTCTAGGAAGGCCCAATTACAGGGCAAAGCAAAACCTTGAGGCTGGTGTTCTGCTGGCGGAGGCTCTGGCAGGGTCATCTTCCTTCTACAGAGTACGCTGGCCTTCCTGCAGTTCTTGTCGACTGGTCCTCAAGTCACCCACAAGTAGTTTAGTATATCCTCCCAGGGCGGGCTTTCAAATCCCGGAGGCTATTCTGATAGCTTATCAACAGTTTCTCTTTTCCAGTGTTTGTGGTCCTAACTTGCATCTGTATTCTGAGGTCAAGGTTCTAAAATCTTCCACCCATCCAAGTCATTCTCCCTTGTCATTCTAGCTTGTCAGAGTATTGTGTCTGGAAGTGAAGTGTCATGTACAGAAATGTGGTGTAACCAGAGCAGATCTCATAGGGATTGTGAGCTTTCTTTGGGATATTTTATTTCTATTAAAATTGTCATCAAATTGTCTATTCTTTATAACTTCATTATACTCCCAACTCATACCACACACTCTCTGTCAATGAAATTGCCCTCAGGCTTTTCTAGAAAGGCTGTACTTAGACGGCCTTTCCCCATCTTGTCCAGACTATGGATTATTTGGAGCTAAGAGCAGAACTGCATTATCTGGCTAATGTTTCAAGCAGTCCGGTTATTTTGGAAACCTGACTCTGGCATCCATCATATCGGCATTCTCTTCTGACTTCACCTCACTGACAAAACCAATGAACTTGCCATTGATTTTCATCCCAGGCTTTGAGTGAACAGTGAACAGCACAGGGCCAGTCAGACAGGCTGACGTCATTATTCTTTGGGTATGTTCATCCAACCAACTATAAGTCAACCTATAAGTCAACCCAACCATTCCATCACTAAGCCCCTCACCCTCCTGGACACTTTATTTATTTTTTTTTTTTAAAGATTTATTTATATTTATTTATTTATTTATACATGCACTGAGTATAGTCAGAAGTGCGGGAGGGTGAGCGAATTCACCAGAGCCAGAGCGGGGAGCAGAGCAGGCAGAAGGACCGAAGTACACTGCTGAGGGGAGCAGCGGGCGGCAGGAGAGGTCTGCGCGCCATGCGGGACCCTCCTCTGGTGGCCGGGGAGCAGCTGGGGATCGAACCTGCGCTGCAGAGGCTGCGGGCAGCTTTGCAACCCAGCGCTCAACCGCTGCGCCACCCAGGAGGCCCCTCCTGGACACTTTAAACATTCTTCTGTCTTGCCAACCATGATATTAGAAGATAGTCTCAAAATTCTGAAAATGTGCTAAGCCCCACTTATGTCTAGCACTTCCTTTGTCTACTAGGTAGAAATAGATAACTACTTCTAAATAGGAAGGTCTAACATGCCTGACTCTGTGAATCCATACTGACTCCTGTAGGGATTTACTGTTTTCCTTAAAGAGTCACAGCTGGGTCACCCTGGTGGCCCAGAGCTTAGGTCTTTAAAATGACCATGAAGACGCTCTTCATAAGGAATCTTATGGGTACTTTTTTTTTTTTAAGATTTGTTTATTTATTTATTTATATAAGCACTGGGTACAGTCCGAAGCGCGGGAGGGTCAGAGAATTCACCAGAGCCAGAGCAGGGAGCAGAGCAGGCAGAAGGACAGAAGTACACTGCTGAGGGGAGCAGCGGGTGGCAGGAGAGGTCTGCGCGCCATGTGGGACCCTCCTCTGGTGGCCGGGGAGCAGCCGGGGATCGAACTGGCACTGCAGAGGCTGCCGGCAGCTTCGCAACCCAGCGCTCAACTGCTGTGCCACCGGGGAGGCCCCCAGAGCTTAGGTCTTAATGCTATCACCTCTTTGGCCTGAATTCAATCCCTGGCCAGCAAGTTAATCCACGTGGCCCAGCAGACCTCTCCTGTCTTGCCTGCTGTTTCCCTCAGCAATGTATTTCAGTAGA